CCTAATATCAGAGATGCACTAATCGACTGGCTGGTGACCTTGATCAGATGATTTTAGCCTGATCTGCCACGTCTCAGACATGGCCAATCTCGTGCTGGTCAAATTTACTTGCATGTGCGGCACAGTGGTTCATGTTTTCGAACAGCCGAACAGACAGTAACTGACTACAGATGCTGCAACCTTTTTCATAAATTGTAATTTATTCTCATTCATGCTGCACATGGTTTGAAATCCACTGTGTTCAGCTGATTGGCAGACTGGGATACAACACCCAAATCTGTATTAATTATGGAGTTGATGAATATCTCGAAATGGAAGCATAGCAAAGCTAATGCTAACCATTTCAGTCTGGGAGGTATAACTCAATAAAAACACAAAAATGATGAGCTAGTCTGGTAGCTGATTATTAAAGCCCACTTCAGACCAAGGATTCGCGACTAGACCAAACCATTGTAGGACATTCCAGAGAAAAGTTAAAGCGGTGTGAACTGGCCGTCTGAGCTCAACTCAAACAGGCTGATGGTGTCACCTGCAACACCATTGGTCAAATCGTAGCGCCTGGTTTTAGAAAGTAAAGCACTTCACCTGTTTCTATAGCCAATCGACTTGTAGTGACACCTGCTGGTTGAGGCAAAATGACCACAGGCAACATGTTAGCTTGCTGTCTGTACCCGCCAAGCCCTCTGTTTCCGTCCTGTCAGACAGTGGGTCGCTGCTGCTCGCCCACACGCACATTCTCATTGACTGATTAATTAGTGCTGCTTACTTGTATTATTGTGGTGTATTGATTATAAATACAGTCCATCTGAAGCTCGTTTTGTTTCTGTTTTTCACCTTTTCATCACTACTACAAATTCACCTGTAGCCAGTATCTCACTATAACTGTCTCATTCATATTTTAAGAAGCTACAAATTATATTCAGCCACAAAATAGGCCTGAAAAGCTGGAAATCAGAACAGAACTACAGAGAGTTGTTGCATAGAGACGATACACTGTGTCATCTAGTTGCATTGGTGTGAACTGGCAGGTTTTTAGAGCATTGCAGATTGGCACATTGCAGGTAGTCAGTCGCCTGTTTCAACTTGTCTCGTCGCAGATTTTTGGTCTGAACTGGTCTTAAAGATAACTAGACCACTGGGGTAGTTGATGGTAAACTCAAAAGTTTCACATAAAAAAGCTAATGCTAACAATTTCATGTAAGTGAATGGAAAATGCTTAAACAATTAGCGCCATATTTCAGGAGGTATAGTCAAATATAAACACAGATTTGGGTGGTCTAACCTAGTTTACCAGTGCGTCTAGTTAGCTTTCTTTCCAAGTAGCATCCATTGATAGGATTTGATAGTTTATACAGTAGTAAAATGTTTTAATGCTAGTGTTTCTTGAGCTGAAACAGAGGTATTAGTCAAGTGTGATCTGATCACACCCCCACAATCCTGAGAAATGGTTTGAGCTGCCAGATAACCTGTGTTTGAACTAGGTTTTTTAATACTTATGAACATTTAGTTTCACTCAGAGTTTTATGAGGCTCTCATCTTGGATAGCATATATGCATTTTTACTATTTCAAGCCAAGTTTCTAGTGGCTTTAAATAAAGTTCCAAATATGTTTGTGTATACTGTCTGTTATAGTTGTTAGAAAGAAGTAAAATTGGAATAGGCTCAAATCAGACGCAGCAGGTTGGACTTTTAAAATATCAGGAATCAGCAGAGAAATTTGCAATCACTGTATCTCTAACCCCTTTTTATTTTTTGGTTAAATTTTATTTTCTACATTTGTTTTTAAACATAAATGCTGAAAGTAACATTCTCTTTCTCTACAGTGTCACATGCCTCTCTTCAGGAAACTAATGATTTGGGAAATCCTCAATCAGAAGCTGCTATAGAGGGTCGCAACAATCTCAATTAACCGCCTAACAACAACAACAGTGTTTTTCTTACTGGGAGCAGCATGTGTGTACAGAAACATGGTGAAGAAACAGAAATGAATGGGCCAAAGATATGGACTCAACTGACTGAAACTAACCAAGCCTAGCTGTTCTGGTCTGGAGAATAAAAAAAAACAAAACACTAGTCTTAATTATGTCCTGTTTCCTGTCGGGGGACGTATTAACACATTGTAATCTCTGAGTTGTAATTGGAGACATTACCGGAATGGAAGAAGTGTGTGTGTGTTACACAAGCTTTGGCACTACTGACTGAATGGGTTTTTTTAATTGACTTTGGATTGTTGGTTCTGCTGTTTGACATTCTGCCTGAAGTGCCTTCAGTCCTCTGACGCTGAGCTCAACTCATAAAATGCTTTTGTATATTTTGAGAAATGATGTGGTCACATACAACTCAAAAGTCAGAATTTATAGAATTAGATTGTTGGAATTTGGACGTCCCTCTTCTACTGATTATCAGCAGAGCAGACAGCACTACAATATGATTTAGTCAGGAAACTCAATCTGTGTGAAATTTAGACAATGAAAAATCAAAATACCTCCTTCCCCCTCTCCTTCAGACAAAAGATGCATGGTTGTATGCTTGTAGTATGTTTGTATTGCTATTATTTATGACTTGACTGGATGAGAAAGTGTTTTCAGATTGTGTGTATTGTTTGTTTTCCCTCCTTGACTGGAGCATTAATAGTTGTTTACCCCATATGTAACATAAGGCGCTGTTAGATCTGTGAATCTTTTCCATGAGCATACCGCAAGAGGCTACTTAGGGCTATTACATTGACTTACAGTATAGTATACTGCATAGCAAACTACTGTACACATATGCATGTTTGAGTTCATGCTTTAAAATGTGATTTGTTTTTTCTCCCTGTAATAAAGTATTTCATTTTTTAAATTGGAGTTTGATACATTAAATGGCTTGTGCAATGCGACAAGGGTTCATCTGGAGCCGGATGGCTTCACCTAAAATCTCTGTTTCAGTAACTTGTAACCTTTTTCTCAGTGTTACATCACAATATTACACTGCTCAAAACATCACTACCACTGCACTTCTTAATACCTGAGAACCAATATTACCCCATGTATAAAACAAATATGAATATACGAACTAAGAATACGACAACAGTCTCACCCTGAGTGTGCTATACATTCCCGCTAATCATTTCTGTACCTTGTGAAAATCCTGTCTTTGTACATCTTCTAATCTTCTAATTTCTTTACTTTGATTTCTTCACCCAGTGCATTCCACTAAATCACCCCACAAACTGATATACACAGTTTTCAGAGTGGTGCGAAAACAACGTTTCAAATTTAGTCTATCTCTTAACTTGTGCCCCCCTTCTCTGTCCAAAAACAGAAGAACGTGACAAAGAGCTTAAGGCATCAGCCTAGCTTTAAAATTCCCCAGATCCCAATCTGATCAAGCATCTGTGGGACAAACCAGTACCCCAGAGGAACTTTGTCCATGCCTGAACTGGTCAGAGCCAAGTCTGATCTAAGGTGGAGCCTCTGACCTGGTGAGTCATAGAGACAGGACCTCTGGGGGTTACCTGTGCTGTCTGGCACCAAAGTGTTGTTGACAGATCCTTTGAGTCCTGTGAGTTGTGAGGAAAGGTACAGGCATGCCCAGTGGATGTTGACTGGATTGGGATCTGGGGAATTTGAGGCCAGGTTGACGCCTTGAGCTTAGTCACGTCCACGGTGCCATTCCTAAGCACTTTTTGTGGTGTGGCATGGTGCATTGTCCTGCCTTGGGGGCGCACTTCCATCAGGGAGTGCAGTCGCCAGTAGGGGGATGTACTTGGTCTGTCATGTGGTTTGGGTGGCTGTAGCATGTCAAGTGGCATCTATATGAATGGCAGGACCCAAGGTTCCTCAGAAGAGCATTGCACTGTAACAAAACAATCGATGTAATCCACTTCACCTGCCAGTGGTTTTTAATGTTTTGGCTGATAGGTGTATAATGCTTTGTAATCCAGTATGTGTCTGGCTTTACCTAAAACTGCAACACTCCTTTTCAGCTTTGTTCTTACATATGAATGTATGTGGTTTCCAGCATATTTTGTGGTCTATTATCACACCAAGAAATTCGTTTTCATATATAATAATAACATTGTCTTTCTTAATAAATGCTTGTGTTTTTATTTTTCGATTTCCAAACAGCATTAATTCTGATGTGACCACCTTCAGAAGCTGCTATAAATTGTCCCCAGAGCATTAATAATTCGTGTCATCCGCAAATAACAAGAATTTCAATATTCCTGATACAAAACAAACAATTTTTCAATTTTAAGATAAGATAAGATAAGATACACTTTTATTGATCCCATAATTGAGAAATTCCATGGCCCTAAAACTGACCCCTGTGGGACTCCACAAGTGATGTCCAAACATGAAGATTTATGAATGGTTTTACATGTGGTGAAAATACTCTCGATATAGCGAACACTTAAAATGATATTGATAATCATAGGTGGGACTCTTTTTAGGGGGCTAAAATGCATTTTGTTACTGACCCATGCACAGCAGTCGATTGCTTAGCTTCAGACTCCAGCGTGCTTCCTCAAACTTTGGACATGCTAGCTGACATCTACTGTATGTAATACACTGACTATGTTGAAGTACTCCATGCAAACCCATTTAAAAAAAAAAATCCAAACCGTCCCTTTGAATCATTTATTTATTTATTTATTGCAATTCAGGCAATCAGAAGCCCTAGCTCAGCCTAACAAATAGAATACACAGGTTATTACCCATGCCACTGGAAAAGTATTTTAGCACCTATGGGCTTAAATTGATTTTAGAAGCTTTTGTAGCTCGTCGGTGCAACACTCGATCTTCGGGATCAGAACATTTTTCACGTGACATCAAGGTGGAAAACATCCTGATCGACACCGACTCAGGCAATTATAAACCTGACCAATAAAATGTAAAGGTATTATTATTTATTTATTTATTTATTTATTTTTTACATTATGAATTTTACATTATTTGTTGGCCCTTTCTGTCAAATAAAACTCTTTTATTTTGACAGTCACCTCGTAACAGGAAATGGTCTGTGTTAGCTGCTGATGTTTACCTCGGTAGCTAATGCTAGCTTGTTTTGGATCAAACCGGTTTGACATACGGTGAATTTGGCAGAGAAATCGGTCGTTAGAGCCAGTTTACCGCGTAGTGTTTACACATCTGCAGTATAGTTATAATAACATGAGTGACAACGAAAAAGATTTTAGGGAGCAGGTGAGTTACTGTTATAAGTTAAGATAACAGTTGGAAAGACGTTAAGCTAGGTTAGCTAGGTTAGCTAGCTAAGACGTTAGCTGCGTTTGCAGGTCGGGCGATGGCAACGCTGACTGAAATATGTTCTTACACATTTTTTTTGAGTAACATAAAGAGTACAGAGTGTATCGTAAATGTTTGACGTTATAGCAAACGGCCTACAAAGCACGGCGTTAGCTACTTCGACTTTAGCACCATTCGGCTAACGTTACTCAACTTGAATTATTTACATATATATTACAGGTAAACGTTAAATCATGACGTATAGTCAATACTTAGTGGTTGTAATGTTCATATTTGACTCCGTACATCATAATTTAGGAGCAATCAAGACCATATCAAGCTAACTTACAATCGTGCTACATTATCCAGCTAATTTCAGTTAGTTCTGTTGTTTTCCTGGTTGTCATGTTTTGTACCTCTTGGCTCTTACAGAAACCAACATGCCTTATCACCCTTGTTTGTTCTTTGTTAAGGTTGAGGTTGGAAGAAAGAAAAAGGCGGAAGACGTGTCAGATGTGAAGTTGTTATTGTTTGGCGCTGATGGTGTTGATGCATGCTAATGTATTGGCTGCTGAAAAAGAAGCGATCAAGATCTGTCCCCACTACTAGTGTTGTAATGGCAGATGGTAAATGGGGGAAGAGGAGGAAAAAGAAGTCATACAGGTCAAACAGAAGAAAGAAGAAATGAAGGGTTGTTTTGAAGTAATGAAGTTACAGAAGTTATGAAGTTAAGATCAGAAGTTTTCCAGGGTATGAGTAATTTCCTAACAGCCTGCTATGCTATTCTGTTTCATCCTGTTTCTTTCTCTTAAGCATGCACATTTTTTTCTCTCTATCAGAAACATCACTGATCAATCCCTCCATATATTTTAGGTTGACTTTATTTTGTAAAACCTGTCTTTTAGCTTAAGTTACTTGATCTCTTGTTAAGATATGTTTTGTAATATATGACCCTTAATGTGTAGTGTCAAACTTTATAAATGCCAAAATGTGTTCAACTCTTTCTGGAGGGGGCATGTAGAAGGCAATGCGGTCACCTCCTGGCCCTTTATTATTGTTGTGTGGCACACATTTGGGTTTGAAGGGTTTTTATCTTAGTGTCTGGTCTGTCCAGGACTCGCGGCATGGCTCAAGGAGCGTGTCCCCTGGGGAATCAGCAAAATCCACCAGCCGCTCACCAGCACGTTCAAAAGATGGCTCCCGCCGCTCCAGGTCCAGATCCCGATCTCGATCCAGATCCAAATCCAGGTGAGACAGGTTTTGTTTTCTTGTTCATATGAAGATGGTGTTTTCAAAGTTAGGTTGTGACAAGTGAAATATTTCTGAAGGTTGTGTAAAGCATCACATGCTCAGAGTTGTTCCTACATCTATCCCCAGGTCCCGCTCCCATCGAAGCTCACGCAGGCGCTACTCCCGCTCTCGTTCTCGCTCCCACCGACGTCGTTCAAGGAGCAGATCTCGTAGCTGGGAGTACCGGCGGCACAGGAGCCATAGCCGTTCCCCCATGTCAAATCGTCGCAGACACATCGGCAACAGGGTATATGATAGGTGCTTCCTTTGCATGCCCGATTTAGTATTTATCTAACAAGACTTCATTGTCTCATTAGTGGTTTTCAGAGTCTGTGTTTAACAATTTGATGTTGACTTCATGTATAAAAGCTCTTTATAGTGTCTAATCTTTAGGACTATAAAACCTTTCTTGTCAGATAACCAGGGCCTGATTTGCTCAGATTTATTGCAGTGGTATGGCAGGTCAGTTGCTCACAATATTTTCACACTCCTCTCTTTACTCCAACAGGCCAACCCAGACCCCAACAACTGTCTGGGTGTGTTTGGGCTGAGTCTGTACACCACAGAGAGGGATCTGAGGGAGGTGTTCTCAAAATACGGCCCTTTGAGTGACGTCAACATTGTGTACGACCAGCAGTCGCGTCGCTCAAGAGGCTTTGCCTTTGTCTACTTTGAAAACTGTGAGGACTCCAAAGAGGTACGGAAGATAAGACACTGATTTTATTTTTTTATAATGTTGACTCCTCACTACCCATTACACAACAGTACATTTTGATCACACTTAAATGGTTTGGGAGTTTCAATGGTAAGTAAGTAATGAAGCAATGATAGCTATGATATAATTGGGTTATGTGCGGGTTGAATATGCTTTTAATAGCCCACGTCTTGCATGTCTCTGTATGAAAGGAGCATTTGTCGGAAGTCTGCAGTGCTTCGGGATCAGGGCAAAGGTTAAACATGCAAACTGTTTCGTTATATTATTAGATAAAAAATGTGTTTTTCTGGGGGGGTTTTAGGCCAAGGAGCGTGCTAATGGGATGGAGCTTGATGGGCGCAGGATCAGAGTGGATTTTTCCATCACTAAACGAGCCCATACGCCCACTCCTGGAATCTACATGGGTCGTCCCACATAGTGAGTGTTTCTTAACCAGGCAGCTTGGTCATTACAGTAGGGACATTTTCCAGGTGCTATTTTGTGTGTGTGTGAGATATCTTCCACTTTTATTCTGTGTATTTTCACAGTGGTGGTGGTGGTGGCAGTGGTGGCGGCAGTGGTGGCAGCGGCGGTGGTAGTAGCAGCAGTGGTTCATCACGGCGTGCCTCAAGGGACTATGACAGGGGCTATGACAGAGGTTATGACAGAGGTTATGATCGTGACTATGATCGCTATGACGACAGAGAGTACAGATCATACAGGTGAGATCTTTTTCCTGTAGCCTGTTTGGCACATTAGGGGTCATACACATGCCGCGTTTTTTGCACCCTCAAATTTATTGTTTTCAATGTAGACCTGCAGCAGACGTGCTCAAACTCCAGGGTGACATTGTCAGGGCGCGCACACTTTCACAAGTGCCTATTTTTCAGGGTGCAACAGCTGCACCCCAAGATAAACTGAGTTCAACTTTTGGAACATAGCAGCGCACTAGTGTTGCTTTCGTCAACGAAAAGTATGACTAAATATCGTCGTCAACGAACCTTTATCACGTGACAAAAACGAGATGAGACGCAACGGAAATGGTGGTCCTGTGACGATAACTATAATTCAATATATAATGCAATATTGTTGACGAATAAAAACGAGACTAAATGTGGTTTACAAAATAAAACCTCTGCTAAAATGTCTCTTCATTTTCATTGATCAAAACGAGACGAGACGAAATAACGTTATAGTGTTTAGTTGCGTTATTATTATTATTTTGCAGTATTTCTGTTTCCTAGGCTGTGCGTCGCACTGTGCAGAGGGATTACAGCCGTGACGATCTACAGTACAACATCACTCGCTCTCATGTGATATTGCTTTTATACAACAGTTCAACAACAGCTTAAACAGCAATGCTGAATAAGGAAATGTTAACAAAAGGTGATGAAATAAATTATTTAAGTATGTTATGTAGCTCTGCGAAAAAAAAAAAACTGTTCTCCCAGTCACGCAGCACACACACCAGGAACTCACGAGCTACATTGTATTTACATTGATCTGCAAGTGTGTAACTTTGTCCAGTTTTGCTGATGAAACGTTGGCAAACCTGGATGTTGGCACGGCCGGATTCAGCTTCCGCTCTCCCTCATCCTCATCAGCACTAAAATGTCATCAGTTTTCGTCGACTAAAACGAGATGAAAATAGTCATGGATTATTCTGACTAAAATAAGACTAAAATGCTCAGACTTTTAGTTGACTGAAACTTGACTAGACAAAAAAGAGTATGAACGTGACTAAAACTAATAAAAACGAAAATGACAGTTTGACACAAAAACTAGACTAAAACTAAAATTAAAACTGGCCGCCAAAAACAACACTACAGCGCACACTACATATCATGTGATGAGGAACAACGAATCACAGCTGGCAGATATCTTTACCTTCTTCTGTAAATATCAGTCTGTGATAAATATGGAAAAGTTTTGGTGCAGGGCCACCCAGAGCTTTATATCTGTCCCAGGGACAATACGCCTACACACTTATAAATAGCGCCTGGGAGAAGATCAGCTCTGCACTCAGGATTTCGGGTAAATAGGCCATGATACTGTGCTTGCTGAGGTTGCTTAGCAATCTCAGATGCAACCTGCTGCCATGCTCTTAATAGCTGGCCCAAAAAAAGCACAAGAGTAGCACCCAGCTCCCGACCTCGCGTTTTCCAGGCGGGTAAAGACACAGCCCCTTAGTCTATTGATTAGTGTTATGGTTCATTGAGTATCATATTAGAATACTTTTACTCCTGTACTAGTAAAGATCAAGAGTAAATCTGATTGACATTTAGTTGGCTAAGTGAATTTAAAGTAGAATATAAAAACACATTAAGCTTTTAGAATGTTATGGCTCATATTAATCTAGTTCTTTAAGTGATCCTAAACATGTGTAACACTAAAAGCCTCAAGTGTAATGTGGTTGTTTTCTCTCCACAGACGCAGATCTCCGTCTCCTTACTACAGCAGAGGGTACCGCTCACGATCCCGATCACGGTCCTACTCGCCACGTATGTTTAAACCAAGTTTCTATCATTAGATCGCAGAGATTTGAACATTAACACTGATTTTTTTTATGAACCCTTCACACATTAAGAAGCACTAACAGATATATACTGTCCTTTTTTCTCACAGGTCACTACTGAGCAGGGAGGGGGGAGTCATCAACAGTTTCAGTTTTATTGTTGAGATGCTCGTCTTTTGATTTTTGATTTTTTTTTTTTTTTTGGACCAGATTATGTATGTGATTTGTTAATATATTGAAGAAAGTTTAAGAAATGGTCCGTATTGATGAAGTCTGTTTAAGAACCACAATGTCACTGGTGAATTAATCGTTATAGATTTCTGGATCAAGACATACTCCTATGCCTGCCCGTCATTGTTAACAGTTTGATGAGCGACTTCAGGCATCATGATGATCTATTTACAGATGTCTTTATATGAATGCAGGTACATTAAAAATACCTACAGTAACATTGCATTTCAATATGTCCCCCCTCTGCTCTCCACACGGACTGTTAACCTGCATGATATACTACTTGGACTACAAAGGGAAACCAGAATGCTTCCAGTACCAAATCTTGTAATGTTGCCTGCAGATCCTGCATTTATGTGCAGATATAGGTTTATAGAGATGACCAAACTTGTAGGAAGAATCATAGAAAAACCTGAAATGCCATTAAAAAAGGTTCAGATCAGCACCAGGATTTTATCACTTGTTCACCGGCTCAAGGCCAAACTGTTCCCCTCTCTTTGGAGAAAATCTGTGAATTAATGTTTTTAAATATCCCTCCTAACAGCTAACAAACAGGACTCAAATGGCACAAGTTGTTTGGTGGTGGTAATCGCATGAAGGGCTGGCTTGTTTCTGCTTGGCTTAACAGACTTGTTTTTATAAAGCAGGATTTTCTGTGGCGGTTAAATTACTGTTTCTCATTTTGCTGTTTGTGTGTAGTTGGTTTCTTTATCTGTCAAGATCCTAGTTTGCATTTTGAACTGTTTCAGATACCATGTTTCTTTTAAATTTTGTGTTTTTCTGGTGGAAAGTATTGTTTTGGAGTGTTGTACATAAACAATAAAGAAATACTTGGGTCATTTGCTCTGTTGTTTAGTGACATTGTTGTACATTATTACTGGCCACAGTGCCCCGCAGTGTTAGAGGCAGGAGTGCTGCAGGTATCAAACATCTTGAATTATTATTTGGTGTTTTTTTTTTCTGTTTCCCTGACAGAAATAAAAAAACAACACGCAAATGATGCCTTCAGGCTTCCCTGTCTGTAATGCTGTGTTTAAGTCCCACAGGATAACATGCATTCTGCAAACAGAAGTGTGGTAGTAGTATGTTTTGGACAGCTTCTGTGCCAAGATTCAAGTTTTGTTTTTAGTAACACCCAGACTACTGCTATGAGAGGAGAAGATCAAATACTGTTCAACTGAATGCAAATATGAAACATAACGTGAAGCGGTTACAAGAAAGATTGTTCACACTAAGCTCAAAAGAAAACTGACATATTACTGCAATAATAATCGGCCTAGTTGGAGATTTTTTTTGTCAACTACTGTCTTAAAGGTCAAGAATACACTTCAGTTTTTAAAACAACGTAGACAAGAAAAACATTTTATATTTTTATGACAACTGGTCAACTGCATTCAGTATCTACGGATGAAAAGCTAAAGCACAGTTTCTACATTATGATGATGTTTTGTTGTTTTAATGTTTCTCAGGTCAAGAATAGACTTTCATTCTAAAATAATACTATTTGATCATATAGTAATTAGGGCGGTTTGAGTCATACCCATTACATAGCAACATTTTGGTGTGATAGCTTGGGAGAAAAAATAATCCTCATGGATGGACTGGTTAAACAGAAAGCAACAGATTTAGCTTGTGAACCTACACATAATGTTTATAACTATATCAAATATATATACATATGCTTTTTTGAATTTTATCAACGTTCTCCATAATTAAGTCTAAAAGGGAGGGATTTTATAATTATTATCTTTTTATACTTTTTTATACTTTTTTTTCAAGCCCGTTTTCATATATACAGCATTTGTACTTTTTAGTTTTCAATTCATGACAAAGAAAATTTTCAGTCAGACATAAAGGATTTTTTTTATATAAAAGATATAAACAACCAATACATTCACAGTATAATAATGAAAGAGAAAAAAATGGAATTATACAGTTAATACAATGACAGTATAGTTATAGTCTCCCATCTTCTATAAGCCACCTTTTCTCAAGCGCATCTTCTCTATTCCTTATTTTGTGAGTCACTTTCCATCTGTTTCAGTGCTGTGATTCTTAAGATTCTGAATAGGTATTTTTCATCTTGACTGAGAGTAGCTTGAGGTTTTTCCAAAAGGATATGCTCTGCCTTTACATACAAAGGTTTTTTTTTTTTTTTTTTTTTTTAAATCCATCAACATAAACACTTACGATATGTATTTAATACCTTAAACAAGTTAAGAAAGAATTATATGTGAGTGGTTTGCATTCTAAAAGGGTGGGATTTTAGGGACAAACAGATAAACATGACGGAAAAATCTAAGCTGGGACATGGTAAAAAATACTGCACATTTTACATAAAACGTGTGGTAAAGTTAAAAAAAAATACTGTGCATTATTATTTGTTTGGGTAATAAAGAAGACCATATAATTTAATTTATTGAAAACACTGGACACATTTTTAAGACAATATTAGGGAAGTAATTCTTAGGGGAAAAAATGTTGCTGCATGTGCATATCAGGATGACCCATTTCACCACATACATCAGTACGTAGGCCTATTTATTGGTTGTATGTATGTCCTTGAACGCATCATGTAAAGGCCGTAAACTTTTAGGATATTTCCCTGTTTATTTAAAAATGTAATAACGTAAGAATAGTAGAACTTAGTTAACATATACTACATTAAAATGCTAATAAATGAAAATATGCTAACAGATAACGTTAAAACGTAACTTTATGTAGTCTGTCAGTTAGTCCATCTCTGACGTTGCGTTCCAGCTCCTTCTCCGACCAATCACAGACGTCTCGCGTGAAAACACTTCCGGTTTGCTCTCCAACTTGCCTTTCCACCGGAGCGGCTGGTGTGAGCAGAAACCAGGAGTGAATACCACGTAGACCATAGGCTAAAAGAGGATATAAAGGTAATAATACTGACGTTTTCTGCGCTATTTAGCTCTCGAGCTACTTGTAGTGACTGTAAAATGCAGGCAGTAGTGTCAGTTCAGTCAGATATTGTGGCTAACAGGTAGCTAGGAGTGGTCTCAGTTAACCAGAAGCTAGCGTTAGCATGCTGTGTTTGAATGAGCATATGACTGGGGCAGGCTTTACACGTTTCAGTGGGGCTAGTTGAGTAGGATGGGGCTATTTGGAGATAAATGCCAATCATTTTTAGTAGTAGTGACGTGTTGGCACAAACAAGTCTGGCCTTGGTGAAGTATTTTGTCATGGGGTCATGGTGTAACCAACTTGTTGTAATTCTTGCAGATGCCCCCCAAAAAGCAAGAAGCCCCCAAACCACCTCCATTAATCGGACGTTTTGGGACCTCTCTGAAAATTGGAATCGTGGGATTACCTAATGTCGGGTATGTACATGTTATAATTAATGTGGGTCTTTGTAAAGTGCTGGGTTCATCATTGAGGGTTGATTAGTGCACTGTTGCTGACAGCCCTGACTCTTTTCTTGTAGGAAATCCACCTTTTTCAATGTGCTGACCAAAAGCCAAGCCTCTGCAGAGAACTTCCCATTCTGCACCATCGATCCAAATGAGAGCAGGGTACCAGTTCCCGATGAGCGCTTTGAGTTCCTCTGCCAATACCACAAACCAGCCAGGTGTGTGTTATGACTATGTGTCCTGATTTTTGTTATTTGTCCAACATTGATGGACTTCTGTCTCACCAACGATCACTTCCTTGTCTGGCTGTTTGTCTCTTTAGTAAGGTTCCAGCTTTCCTAAACGTTGTGGACATTGCTGGTTTGGTGAAGGGAGCTCACTCAGGACAGGGACTTGGAAATGCCTTTCTCTCCCACATCAGTGCCTGTGACGGCATCTTCCACATGACCCGTGAGTTGTCAATATTACGGCCGGCAGCTGCTGTGTAGTAACAACTGAGGAGAGTGGACAGGTGTGAGAGGGCAAGTTAGGACCCAGTGCTAGACTTCTTGAAGGGGAACAAGGCTCATTTTAAGAATTCACTGATGATATGCCTGTGCCCAAGACAAGATGATAAAGCCAGTGGCCTTATATGGCTGTTTTTTTCCACTTTATTTTGCGATTTAAAGTTCTACAGCAGATTTTGAGAACCAACAGTACAACCTCACAGCTGATCAAGCAGACATGTAATAAAAGGTTGCCACACACTAATAAAACTGTCCATAAGTCCTTGTAAAGCAAACCTTATCTTTTCTAGCTTCAAAAATTGTAATGCCTCTCTGACCCAGTGTTTAAAAGAGGGGGGTGGCTGCTTTCTTCAAGCAGTGGGTCATATGGCTGCTTTTATATAGACAACTTTTAACATTTGAGAGCTTCAGTGAAAGAAGGGTTTTCTAGGAAAACATGTTAACACTTCTCAAAGTGAAGTATAGTGGAAGTATTGTTTGGTATCGCTACTAAAACTCAGCAGTATAACTACATTTCAAAAACATCCAGACCAACTTGAAAGCTAGAAATTAGTGTGAAAGATTTTAATTTATTATTTGCCTGGTATGTAAAATCAGAGGTTGGGAAGATGCTAAATTGATTTTTCAGACCAAGATGACATTTAAATAGTAGCATTTACCTGGGTCCTCAACCTCATCCAAAAGTCTTAAGGCCCAGGCACACTAAACTGACAACACAGAACTAGTGGCCACAAAGGCCGACGGTTACGTTGATTCATGTTGCCTGTGTCTCAGCCAGAAATTTGCACTTGAACACCTGGCCAACCTGCACAGACGTTCTGCACCTGCATAAGAGGAATTAACTTTACATAGCGGCAGGCAGCGATGGTCTGTTTTCAACATTCAAAAAGGGAAACCTGAAGACCGACAGGACAGATTCAAGACACTACTTAGCACATTAACAGCACAACCTTATGGTGAAAAGACAAAGCGTATTTACCATGTGCCAGCAAACAATAACACAGACAATTACAAACTGTTCTGCGAAAGAGCTTAATGGCTAAAAAACGTGATATAACAAGATTGTTTTGACCTCACTTCTTCTTGACTTTAGTCCTTTGTTTGCCCTCCTCACTTCCCGTTTATCTTCTCAAGAAGAAGATCAGAGTGATCTCTCTCACTGATAGGCTCTGACGCTGATTCATCATGCTGAATTGACAGAAAAACAGGCGACAAAGGCCGACTAGTACCAACAGTGTGGGACACATTGCAAAAACAAAGGCGACAGACGCTCATTGACGGCCCAACATTTACCAACCATCAGCTTGGTGTGATGTGGCCCTTAGGGAGAAATAAAATCTGCGGATCATTCATGGCCGTTTGAACTGTGTAAAACTTTACATCCCAGTAATATCAGCTCTCAAGTTTGTGGCTTTATGAAAAAAAGTTGCATGGTCATGAATACCAACTGAACTGCTCAGGGTTTAGAAATAAAATGGTTGATTTAGTTTTGATTTAATAAAAGACCCTCAGATTTCAAAATGTGAATTTTTGTAACAGGTTGACTTCATCTGTCAACGCTGGTGTGTTTTAGGTGCGTTCGATGACGAGGATATCATCCACGTGGAGGGTAACGTTGACCCAGTGAGGGACATTGAGATCATCCACGAGGAGCTGCGACTAAAGGACGAGGAAATGATCGCTCCTATCCTCGACAAGCTGGAGAAAACAGCCGTCAGAGGAGGTGACAAGAAACTCAAACCTGAATATGTAAGTAATGTGTGTTTGTGCTAAGCATCTGTTTTCCTGTTTCACAATTGTGTCACTATTCATCACTGAAGGGGCATGAGATGATAATCTAACATCTGTCTGTAGACATCTCATAACCTGCTGCTTCTTGCTTCAGGACATCATGTTGAAGATAAAGCAGTGGATAGTGGAGGAGAAGAAACACATCCGATTTTACCACGACTGGAATGACAAGGAGGTAATGTTGTTTGTGTGTGTGCTTGAATGAGTTTGTGTGTTAGGCTTGTGTTTCTATTTCACTGGAGTTCTACCTTGTATAACTGATTTAATATTCTTAAAAAAATGTACTACTGGGCTGCTGTGTGGCTCAAGACGCATTGTATTCTCAGTGTAATGGGTTGAGGGAATACTTCACCCTCAAATGACCATTTGTACAGTACAGGCCAAAAGTTTGGACACACCTTCTCATTCAATGCGTTTTCTTTATTTTCATGACTATTTACATTGTAGATTCTAACTGAAGGCATCAAAACTATGAATGAACACATGCGGAGTTATGTACTTAACAAAAAAAGGTGAAATAACTGAAAACATGTTTTATATTCTAGTTTCTTCAAAATAGCCACCCTTTGCTCTGATTACTGCTTTGCACACTCTTGGCATTCTCTCCATGAGCTTCAAGAGGTAGTCACCTGAAATGGTTTCCACTTCACAGGTGTGCCTTATCAGGGTTAATTAGTGGAATTTCTTGCTTTATCAATGGGGTTGGGACCATCAGTTGTGTTGTGCAGAAGTCAGGTTAATACACAGCCGACAGCCCTATTGGACAACTGTTAAAATTCATATTATGGCAAGAACCAATCAGCTAACTAAAGAAAAACGAGTGGCCATCATTACTTTAAGAAATGAAGGTCAGTCAGTCCGGAAAATTGCAAAAACTTTAAATGTGTCCCCAAGTGGAGTCGCAAAAACCATCAAGCGCTACAACGAAACTGGCACACATGAGGACCGACCCAGGAAAGGAAGACCAAGAGTCACCTCTGCTTCTGAGGATAAGTTCATCCGAGTCACCAGCCTCAGAAATCGCAAGTTAACAGCAGCTCAGATCAGAGACCAGATGAATGCCACACAGAGTTCTAGCAGCAGACCCATCTCTAGAACAACTGTTAAGAGGAGACTGCGCCAATCAGGCCTTCATGGTCAAATAGCTGCTAGGAAACCACTGCTAAGGAGAGGCAACAAGCAGAAGAGATTTGTTTGGGCCAAGAAACACAAGGAATGGACATTAGACCAGTGGAAATCTGTGCTTTGGTCTGATGAGTCCAAATTTGAGATCTTTGGTTCCAACCGCCGTGTCTTTGTGAGACGCAGAAAAGGTGAACGGATGGATTCCACATGCCTGGTTCCCACTGTGAAGCATGGAGGAGGAGGTGTGATGGTGTGGGGGTGTTTTGCTGGTGACACTGTTGGGGATTTATTCAAAATTGAAGGCACACTGAACCAGCATGGCTACCACAGCATCCTGCAGCGACATGCCATCCCATCCGGTTTGCGTTTAGTTGGACGATCATTTATTTTTCAACAGGACAATGACCCCAAACACACCTCCAGGCTGTGTAAGGGCTATTTGACCAAGAAGGAGAGTGATGGAGTGCTGCGGCAGATGACCTGGCCTCCACAGTCACCGGACCTGAACCCAATCGAGATGGTTTGGGGTGAGCTGGACCGCAGAGTGAAGGCAAAGGGGCCAACAAGTGCTAAACACCTCTGGGAACTCCTTCAAGACTGTTGGAAAACCATTTCAGGTGACTACCTCTTGAAGCTCATGGAGAGAATGCCAAGAGTGTGCAAAGCAGTAATCAGAGCAAAGGGTGGCTATTTTGAAGAAACTAGAATATAAAACATGTTTTCAGTTATTTCACCTTTTTTTGTTAAGTACATAACTCCACATGTGTTCATTCATAGTTTTGATGCCTTCAGTGAGAATCTACAATGTAAATAGTCATGAAAATAAAGAAAACGCATTGAATGAAAAGCTGTGTCCAAACTTTTGGCCTGTACTGTATGTCAATTGTTCACCCCGTCTTACATTGAATTCACAAAGAAAACATTGTTTTTCTTGCTTGCCTTCATGGTGAACAAAGAATCCAAAAATGATGAACTAAAGTAAAGGAGCAAAACTATATCAAAACATTTGTTTGTTTTTTTGTTTTTGTTTTTATTTCAGCGAGATGAAAGAAATGTTTTTGTCAACAAAGTCTGGATTTGAACAGAGCATAGGAAAATGTCATATGTCATAAATGTCAAATGGCATACAACTGGACAAACAAGACTTGGATTATACTGATATTGATATAAAAATTGACATTTTAGGGGTGAAGCATTCTTTTTCATATCACAAAGTCTGCGTCCATCAGCCCTCATTGCCCTCATTCTTACTTTGTTTGATATTCCAACCTTTCCATGTCAATCAGTTTTACTTTGTGCATCTTCATATTTTTTTTTGGATTTTTTGACAAATGTTTGCCTCTTTCCCAATTTTTTTTTCTAGTGTGCAAGTTTAAAATTTACCTTCACACCTGCCCTGTTTGTTTTGGCTCACTCAAACTCAAGTTCTTTTGCCCCCTAAATGCGGTTTGTTGGGCAGGTGTGAGCACAGCAGTCACACTTGAGTGCGCAACAAAACAACCAGACCGAGTCCTCCTCTTCAAGAAGGTCTCAGTCCGGTTACAAACGAACTCTGGTGCGGTCTGTTTGTGGTGAGAACCTGTTCCAACCTGGCTCTGAACCAACTGCAGTCACATGACACATTGTTTGGGTTAAACATGAGCATGTTACAGTCCTGGAGGATTATTAATGTGCACCTCCTCCTGTACTGCCTTAATATGCACATTCAGCACATCCAATGCATCAAAACATTGTTTTCTAGTTGGAGCCGCGCCTCGTTTTCAAACTGTATTGTTTGACTCAAATGAACAATGACAGCAATATAGTCCATGATGAGCAGCGCTAAAATCAAGCTGCGTAGTTGTCCCTCCATTGTGACATTAGAAAGTGTCACATTTATCTTGCAAGTGTACTCTTCTTCAACGTTTTGTTTACTTCCTGGATTTTTCCTGCATGGAAATTCTGACCAATCAAGAGCAGCTTTCTCTTTCAATGCATTTTATCTTGTCCTCTTGTAAATGCTGCCTTGAGAACACAAACCAACTCTAGGCAATTATACAACTTCGTAAGAAAATTAGTCCCTGATTCAGACCAAAGCAAGACAGCTCTAGGTCTGAAAGCACCCTGAAACCCAGTGAGTGGTGTAATTTTCCTTTCTCTGTGGTCAGCTTGCTCTCTTGATGCGCAGAGTAGTCTGATTGGTCATTATAGCATTAGCAGGGTTTTGGACTCATGGGGACAAGCTGCACATTATCTCATTGGTAGATACTGAGAAATTAGTTTAACTTAAGAACTAAACTGTTTTATAATTTGTACCTTTTTTAAATCCTCTGCACAGATTGAGGTGTTGAACAAATACCTGTTCCTGACATCGAAGCCCATGATCTACCTGGTTAATCTCTCAGAGAAGGATTACATCAGGAAAAAGAACAAGTGGTAGGTTTGCTTTCACCTTCACAACATGCATGATTGCTCGTGTTTGTCACATACATTTATTTTGTGTTATTATGTGGCTGCTGTTGTGAACACTCAATAAACTCACCCTGCTGCCTGTTTCTAACAGGTTGGCAAAAATCAAGGAGTGGGTAGATGCTCATGACCCCGGTGCTCTGGTCATCCCTGTGAGTGGATGTATCGAGTCTAAGCTGCAGGACATGGAGGAGGAGGAGAGGAAAAAGTACAGCGAGGAAATGAAGACACAGAGGTGAGATTTTTAACTCACAGAACAAGAGTATCATAGATCAGGTAGCGAAATGGTTTAAAGGGATAGTTCGGATTTTTTTAAGTGGCGCTGTATTTGTTCAAATAAATGGGGCTTTAAACATTGAATCTACCTTTTTAAAGATACACGTTTGCTTGACTGCTCCATCATGTCGTCTCTGTGTGTTTCTAGTTGTCTGACCAAAATAATCAAGACCGGCTACGCAGCACTACAGCTGGAATACTTCTTCACAGCGGGACCAGATGAAGTGCGAGCATGGACCATCAGGGTAAGTGCTGTGATATGAATATTTCTTCTTTAACTCTCAATAGATCCTAGACTAAAAAGTATATTAGAAATCACCTGTATTGTTAGTTGAAGGTTTCATTCAATCAGATCCAGTCCAAGTTTATTTAAATAGCACGTCAGACATAAGAAGAAGCATACAAAAGAAAAAAAAAGGAAAATAAGTCAATTAATAAAAGCAAGAACAAACGGTAGATTTAAGGAATTTGAGAGGCATATAATTATAACAAAGTGACACATATAAATGGCCTCGGGGAAAGCAGTGGCAACTGGAAAAGTTCAAGCCTCAATTTAAAAGAACGAAGAGTTGGGGCAGACCTCAAATGTTCATGAAGTTTATTCCAAATTTGATGTGCATACCGATAGTAAGAGGGACCTGCTTCTTCAGGTTTGGTTCTGATACTGGGGACGCAGCGCAGAACTGTTCCAGAGCAGCATGTCAGGCATGTATTTTGGTCCCAAACCATTCAGTACTTTGTAAGTTGATTATTATATTTTAGATCAATTCCTTGATTCATAGGATGCCAGTGCAAAGATGTAAGAACTGGGCTGATGTGTCCCAATTTTGTGGTTTTAGTGATGACTCAGGCAGCAGCGTTCTGAATAAGCTTCCGTTGTTTGATTTGTTTACAGAGGCCTGAAAAGACATTGTGACAGTAATCATGTCTTCTAAAAACAAAGGCATGAACAAGTTTCTGTTGCTCTTGCTAAGACATGAGTAAAGCAATATTTTTTAACAGTTAATTTCTTAAAAGCAAAAGAAATATTCTGTAAAACAAAGTTTTAATTGGAGATAGAGATGAGAGATATTCATCAACTTATCTCAAATGGCAAGAGCCCATGTTGTCAGATGGGAATATTACATATTTATGATCAGTGGTGGGACAAATAATTATGTCATCACATCATTGTATTTTCTCTCTTTTTGGCCACATAATAATCTTAATAATTTGCATTGAGTATAGTAGGTCACTGAAGTGCAACACTGACAACGTTTACATGCACAAAATATTCAGTTTTATCGCCATTATTATGAAAAAGACAATATTCCTATGAGGTTGTTTAGATTGCTAATGAACATGAATATTCCACTAATATTCCCATGTACATGAAACTGCATACTCTGATTAACATGCCCTAACATGTTGTTCATCACGTCAAAATACAGAAAAGTGAAAAGGCTGGAGTCGCTTGTGTCATTTTGCTTTTTTGCAACAAAATAGTTGCCTGTGTCCAGGAGGTCACATGGAGGTCAGAATCTGATTTCAAAACAAAATAAAATAAAATAATAAAAAGAAACTGAATTAAATTTAATTTAATGTAATAAACCAAAATCAAATAAAAAGAAATAAACAAATAAAATAAAATAAATAATAATGACCATAAAAATATAATAATAAAATAGCAAAGATTTGAACATACTTTCATACAGACAACAGCATGACACATTCTAAATAAGTGCACTCTAAAATATCCTTGGCGTAGGATTTTAAAAGGTGTAAAAATAGGAGCGAAAAATGTTTGTGGGTGTGTTAAAATATACACTCAAATAGACGACAGCATGACTCTTTAGTCTTTAGGAGCCACCATACAAGGCTTCATTGAATATTATTTTAACATTACATTTTTTGCTTTTTGAAAATTCATTCTGCGTTTGTAGCAGCATGTTTTTGGAGAGTTGCAAAAAGAATTTACTGTTTGTTTGTTTTTTTGACACCATAATGTGCGTGGGCAGCATTTACTGTGATGTCTGTCCTTGTCTGTGATAAAATTCTTCAGTTTGGCAGATGTGTTTCTATTTTTTCAGTTCTTTTTTTTAATTTAATTTCCTCATTGTTTTGTTCCAACAGAAAGGGACCAAGGCTCCTCAAGCTGCAGGAAAGATCCACACTGACTTCGAGAAGGGCTTCATCATGGCCGAAGTGATGAAGTACAATGACTTCAAAGAAGAGGGCAGTGAAAGTGCAGTGAAGGTGAGTTTTTCATAAAGCCCTAATTCTAATCTCAAACTGTCGCACTGTTGAATTTCTGCCAATAACAGCATTTGACTTCCTGACAGCTGTCCTTGAAAACAATTCAACTGTGTCCTCTTTCACAGGCTGCTGGAAAATACAGGCAACAAGGCAGGAACTACGTGGTGGAGGACGGGGACATTATCTTTTTCAAATTCAACACACCCAACGCGCCTAAGAAGAAACCATGAGACCACTTGATCACCAGGGGGAGAACTCAGAATACTATTTAGCTGGGCCTCTAAAAGCTGCACTGTGTGCTGGTTTTCATTCTTCTCTTATGAATTCAGAGGATCAAGTCATGGCCTGGTTGGTCAGAGGTATTTACACAACCAGCCTCCCAGGTCTGGACCAGAATATACTCAAATGATTAATACTTCTGTACAAGCATAGCTACATTCCTATCTGTAATATTTGGAGCAAATTTTCACACTGTACCAGTCAGACATCTCTAAAAACACTTCATTAAAGCTTTCATGATCTCAATGAAGAACAGGTATAGCTGAACTGAGAAATATAATATTTTTGATAGAGCATGAGCTGCACATTGTTTTCTTATTGATGCTGGCCCTGTCCTGTTTTAATACGCATCAGACAATGAGAGCTTGTCCTCTTTTTCTAGATGCTTTATGATCATTTACACCACAATGCTCAGAGAATTTATTTTGTTGTTAATGTATCTTTAAGACGGTAATTCCTCTGTATAATAACAGCTTGCCTTTCTGTCATTAATTGACCGTTAATCGTCATGTTAACTGCTGATAAATTGGCGAACTCTCATCATAACAACGTGCTCCTCTGAGAGTTCAGGTTCTCGAGTTGGAAAGTTGTTCTTCTGACTTCGGTGTGTTCATGTGCTTTAAGTCATGATGTAAAAGCAACATGGACGCTGTATTTTATTACTCAAAGCATTTAAACAACACATTTATGACAGTTTAAAGCTCTATATTACAAAGTGATTTTGTCTCATGCTTGTTGCTGCACCAGTACATCCTCTAAAAGTACTTAAATATTCCTTATCCTGATTAATGCTAATAAAAAACATTTCTAAATAATCTAGCTCACTCTACGCGGACTGCAACTAATGGTTACAACCTAATACCATATTACAAACTACATGCGAGCAAAAAAGTGACATGTAAATTTATAATTACTATCAATTGAACATATGCTTTCATCCGCCATGTTTCTGCATATATGACGTCAACTCTTGCCCTAAATCTTTCCGAGTTGTTCTGACTTTGGGAGGTGTTCATGTGAATTTTCTCAGTCGGGAACTAATTTTTCTGATTATTTTGATACCACATGAACACAGGGTGTGCTCAATCTGTGAATCAACGCCTATATGATAAAAACTTGGTAAACAGTGTCACCATGAGTGATAGTAATATACGGCATGTGTTGTTTGCTGCAGGTGCCTAATCAGCATTTATTAAAAAAGGAAAATATGAGTAAGTTTAAGTCTTTGTCCCTAAAATTACAAACTAGTTTCTCAGTTCATTTATGCCTTTTGCTCGGTTAAACGTTCCTGGATTTGTGCTAATTACAGTTAAGTCATAATACTTAATATGATTAAGCTAAAATATGCGGTGTCTATCAAAGTTTGACTGGTGCTGTGTTTACTGTTAAGAGAAAATGAAATCTATCACTCAGTGTTGCGCTTTGGGTCGGTACTGTGCCGTATTCTGAGAAAGAAGGCTATTATTTTAAAGAGAGCAGGAATCCCTGACAGTGCAGGATGACACACCTGAGTGGAGATCGTTGTTATACACGCTGCTTTTATGGACTTTGCTTTGGGCTAGTGAAAAGAAAAAAACAAACAAAAACAAGACGACATTTACATTATGAACTTCATCCCGTGTTACAAGACAATGCTTCATTGTAAATCAGCTACAAGAGTGCTCTGTGGATCATCTGGATTGTACAGCTTCATCATGTCTCGTTTCACCTCACTGCCTCCACAGTGTGAATGTCTTTATTTTCAAGAGCACCCAACAATCCCGTCATTACACATACTGTGGAAGATAGAAAATCCAGTCACCCCGAGGGTGCCGGGATGTAATATATGTCATCCTCATCAATATGCATGTGTCAATAAAAGGAGACAAACCTGTCACTGCTTTGTGTGTCTCTAATTTTCCCTCATTATGTTAGGGGTTAAATGCCATACAAGGTTTTTACAGTGTTTAATTACAACCAATTAATGAAGTGATATATTTTAACAAGCTATTATCAGATTAATAACTCTTATTTGTCTTTAATGAGGCTTTAATAAGCTTTAAGTAAGAAAAAAAATAACCCAGCTGTCTCTAAAGTTATCACAAAATGCAACACGCTAGAGATTATTCAGACTTAAACACAGCTTTTCCCCACAGCAATAAGGACATTGAATGAATTCAAATACACAGGATGAACTTTTCTTATAAGTGTAATTACTACACTTTATGTGCAATATTCACAGACGTGCTATGTAGGTCTTCACCTTGTACACTTATTTATTGTCTGATATTTATTAGTGTGAGGATTGGATGCTTGAATATATGGAGGATGTGGTTTTAACTGTAAGCACCTTACAGGAGTAGCACTTCTAATTTAATTCTGTCTTTTATTATGCAAGGTCAATAAAAGGCACTCTGCAAACTAATTTAAGAAAAGGGGGAAAGAAATAAAGGTAATTTCATGTGCAAATGTAATATATTTACTCATTTAAATTTTAAATTAATTGAGTTTTACAATGGAATCACAAAAGTCATTTTAAAAGTATTTTTATTTTATCTACTTGTGTCTGCCTGTTTAAAACAACTTCAGATTTACAAGTTGACTTAAATATAAAGATTTAAAGTTGTATTAGACTGTTTTATAATCGAAACTGCTGTTTCTGAGGTCATAAAGGAACTTTTACTCTAATTCTTGACATTTTTTCCTGCCTTAAATTAGTTTACACTTTGTGCTCACTTAATTTAAGGGCAGTTTTCTTTTCTTTGTTTATAAATGCATTAGTTAATTCAATATATAGCTTTATGCATTGACATTAATTTATAATTAAACACTAAAAGTCATTACTGCAGTGACACACTCATGCTCCACACAGGTAGGGATGTAATCGTGTGGGAGTTTTTATTTATTAACAATCAATTTCAGATGGCAAAATAGCTTTTTTTGTGGACCAAACCATTAATACTTTCCCCAATATATCAATAACAACAACTTTGAGGACAGTTTGTCATTTAAAATGTTCATTTATAGATGTTAATGTTAGCATATGTTCTTTTGGTTAAATGTGACAATATGGACACGAAATAAACCATCAGCTACAGGTTAATACATGTCTGTAACACATAGTTTTAAACTGCTTTGTTACAAGGAAGTAATGGAGGCCAACAGACGTTATACAGTTAACATGAAACTTTAAAAACTAACTCTCGTCGCAGGTCTGAGGCATGTTTACTTGTTGCGACGACAAGAAATCGCACTGAAATAAGTCAACGACTAATATTAAGAACATATAGCTTGGTTGTATATGTAAAGGATTAAATAAAGTGTGTAATTTCGACACAGACGCCGCCGTTTTACAACTATCTCTGTTGGGAATTTAACAACTGCATTCCATCTCTTGTCTCGCTACACAACAAACAGGAAACACACGTCCCATGAAAAGTGACTGGCATTCCGCTCAGCCAATGGCGTGCGGCGAAGCCTTCGCTCAGCCAATCGCGTTAGAGAAGAAGGGCGGGACGTCCTGTAATGTGATGCAAATTCGACGGTCAAGCCTGTTAGTCCCACCTTTTTGTGTTTCCCGCACCGTCAATCAAAATAGAAAAAAATCGACCCGAATTCACCGATCAACACTAGCCCGCCTTTGATAAAATAATCATGTTTGGAGTTTAGTTTATCAGATAATCCTCCCGGTTACTACCATTCACGCTATGACTGGTACGTAAACATTTAGCGCATCGAAGCGTGCAACTAATCGGTGAGTTTGTGCAACCTACAGCGAAGCAAGCTGCGTCTTTTTATCTTTTGCTCTGCTGCTAACTAGCTAGATATGGTTAGCTAACCGAGCTAGCTGGCTAGCCACGGAGTTGACAAAGTAAACAGTCAATCTGGGCCGAAATCGCCACAGAATCTGCGCTGCAAAGTTGAATTTCGCAGTCAGCTCCTTTTGGACTGGAGAGTGGGGATGCTTTGCGGGCTTTTCTGGCAGGCAGGAGTTGAAGATTACAGAGTTTTGCTGAGTTTCCCCCTCTCTCCCTGCTAGCGCCAGAGCAGCCTCTGAAACAAGGAGAAATGGCGTCCGCGGACGTGGACAGCAGTCAAAGCGAGTTTCTGCAACCCGCCGGCGCAGCGGAAACACAGGTATCCGACATTTTCTAGCTCGTCTTTCTTGCTCGCTTTCGATTTCTGGTTGTGTTTTTGAGAGCATGAAGTTCACACGTTTTAAAATTTTGATGGCATGGGGTGAAAGCCGTACACTTCCTGTGTTCCCCTCAATAACGGCCACCCACTTTACCCCTGTAAAACCCGCCCATAGTGGGTAGGACACTGAAGTCAGTCACTTGGGTCGGCTCACTGGAAGATAGCCGGTGTACCTTGGGCTGGGAGGATGCCGGGGTGTGATAATATTGCAGGGATAGCCTCCATAATCAAAACAGTAGTGTTCAATTGTGTTGCAATAGCCACCCATCCCCCACACCATGCTCTCGAGCCTGTTATCTCCTCTCTGTACACTGGTGGTTGCATCTAGGTTGTGGTTATTGCATCGTTTGCATCAGTGTAAATCCTGCATGATCCTCCACTCCCCATGATTTACTCTGCCTTTGATGTAGCAGCAAAATTCCTGAATTCATTACTGATTTGCAGACAATAGCCAGGCTGCTTCCCCTTTTCTGTGATGTAATCTGAAGCTGAGATGAGTCTTGTTGCTGAAGTGTGTTAATCTGAGTGTTCATGTTACTCCCAGACGACAGATATGTCAGCCATTCAGCTGACGGGTTCAGACCGATGGGAGGTGTTGACTCCTGTCTCAACTGGGAAAGAAGACCAGGGAATCGTTCACATTCCAAACTCTGGTATCGTCACGTCCAACGGGCAGTACGTGCTTCCTATTGGGAGTCTGCCCAGCCAGCCCATTTATGTTACAGCATCTGGGAATGAGGCCGCAGCCAACGGAGTGTCAGGCATTCAGTATCAGGTAAAAAGACACAGAAAGACATTTTCAGACACAATAGGGTTATATTCTCTCTGTGATCCTGCTCAAAACTGTCGCTCGCTCTTCCAGGTCATCCCCCAAATCCAAAATGCAGATGGGACACTTGCAGGATTCACACAGGGATTGGATGATGGCACTGGGCAGATCCAGCTCCTCCAAGATGGCACCCAGGGTAGCATTGGAATCAGCTGTGCCACGACAGCGACCACAGATCTCCTGACGCAGGCGGGCCAAGTACAGTCAATCCAAGGCGTCCCACTGGCTGGGGGGTCGGCATACACCGGCACAGTGCCTGTAGGGCTGCCCAGCAACATAACGTTCGTCCCTATAAACAGTGTGGATCTGGAGTCTCTAGGGCTGACTGGAGCGCAGACGGTCCCCATCGCGACAGGGGTAACACCCGAAGGTCAGCTGATCATGGGTGGCCAGACGCTGGACAATCAGGGTCAGGACACAGGCGTCAAGCAGCCGCTGGTGACGGTGAGCGGCGCCAACCAAGAACTCTACGTGCCAACCACCACTTCCTCCTCCAACAACTCCCAGCTTCCAGAAACCATCGACGGCACTGGGGTTCTGACCCAAGCGACTGCTGTGTCTGCAGGCGTGTCCGACCCCTCTACAGAGAACTACAACTCCCACAACCACCTGCAGCAAATCCAGGTCAGAGTTGTGTCTTAAACAATATGTCGTGTATGTGTGTCAGGCCTGTAAGATAAATCGGTGAGAAGAATGTTAAGTTCTGAGAAGGAAAATACAAATTTATATTACACGAAAGTATATATATTTTTTGTGAGGTGCTTGACGCTTTCTTTTTTTAGGCCTAAAAATCTGGGAGGGGAAAATACTCTTTGGTCCCCACAAAGGTCATAACTGGTGTTGTTTTGTGGATATCGATTGAACCACAATACTTTCTTATTATTATTCAAGATGTGTCAGTACTGGAAACAGTCAGTTACTGAATGCTGGCTTCAAATGTCTGATCAGACTTGGATTTTGTGTTTATTTTATTTTATTTAAGAAGGGACAATGCACATAAATTAACATGAACACTTAAGCCTATTATGTAAATGTGCCAGATTTTGCCACGCAGGCTAATTTTATCTGTGTTCCCTGGCAGGTTTTAAAAGTAAATACACAAGAGCACATAAGCAACGACATGTGAGACTTGTAGTCTTGTCGTACTTAACATTACTGAGCATTGTGAGAGTCGTTCTGGTATCTGTCAGGTATTGAATCAGCACTAGTATGTAGAAATTTAAAACACCAGCCCTAATGATTGACGAGGTCACAAGACAAAAAGGTCAGGAACCGCTGCTTTAAGGCCTCTCACTGTGTCTGACATGAATCCCAAATTTCCCAGAATTCATTTTGCAGATCCACCTAGATTATCCTCCCACTCTGGGATCTTTTGTTTGTTTCCTCTTCCTTGAACATGTTGAACTGTACTTCTGTGATCAGATGTCAGCTGGTGAATACAATGCTGTTGTGCAACCCTCCCTCCCTGAGGGTCAGCAACCACAAATGAATTCTTAGCCTGTGGGAAATGCTCTAGCTTTAAATTTATTAATATGATCAAAGCTAACTATCCACTGTGCTGTGAAACCATGACCTCTGACGTAGAGCAGGGTGTCGGCAGGTCATTTAAAAGCCGTTAAAAATGCCTTCAGTTCTGAAAATATTAGGCCTTAAAGGTCTTTTAAATGCTTTTAGATTTAAATTTGAGAGGTCTTAATCACCACAGAAATGTAATCTAATTTAATTTATCCATCTTTTAATTTATTTTTGCCAGAATGAGTCCAGCTTTTCAGTGTGGCTGATGTTACACACATTTAACCTACCACAGAACATAAACTTTACTTTACACTTTACTTACTTGTTGGCAAAATGTAGACTAACCTTACTCACTC